CGCCCGTGAATGCCATAGTACGTGTAGCGAGAGGGATCGTAGGTGTGGCAAGTAACTTGAATTTATACATGACTTTTTGGTTGTCATCACAAATATGAATCGGAAGGTGCTGGATTTTGGGGAGTAAGAGCAAGACCATCACGTTATTCAACATTAGTGTGCTTAGATCGAACATTAGCGCAATGTTGCGTGGCGTTGAAAATTTATGTCCATCTTAACAACAAAATAAATTTTCTTTCGAAGGGACATGAACGTTTTAAGCAAATGCATACAAATTATCAGTGTTTCTCAGACCAAAAAAGATTTGCAATAAATTATGATTTCGAAATAAAGATTTATTTTTAAATTCATTAGAATTACCTGTAGTCCTACAGTGTGGTAAGAGTCGCATTGGAAGCAGAAAGCTAGAGAAGATTTTAGTATTGTTTAATTGACTTATTTCCTCTAGTTCCTTTCTTCTATACAAAATTTCATTTTGACTCCTTAACTTATATAAGTCAAGAAGTAGCCACATTTTCTCACTAATCACCGAGCTAAGTATTTATTCAATATACTCTTAACGAAATTAGAGTGAGTTTTCAGCAAGAATAAAGGCACAGATAAGCAAATATAATCGGCTGAGCTCTTTTGAAACACACATACTCTGAAATTTCATTTTCCTTATCGGTCCTTTAGCTACTCTTGCTGGAACCATTGTGGCATTTATTTTTGGACAGGCCAGCTTTTGTAAGACCAAGCCTGAAGTATCTTGAATATTATATTTTCATTAGTTTCGGCTGCAATCGAAATGGTCCCTTCAATAGATTTTTGTTGAGATGTTTGTTTCTCTTTGCAGTACGAGGTGAAGTTTCGAGGTGTCTTAGGATAGTTTTGCTGATTTGTGGTGAGCCCTTATACATATAATTCGCACTCACTCCATTCGCGGTTTATGATGTGTAAATATTATCATCGTCTGTATTAAAATAATTTATTATTAATTATGTTATTGTTTTTATTTTATTGAGAATCATATGCAATATAGACACCCGAACAATACGGTCACCCATTTTGCCATTTGCCAATAATAAACTTAACCAGAAAAACAAAAATAATTACTGTGCCTTGCTTATGGAAAGACTTTAACTATTTAATCCATACACCAGCGCTGCGATTTTGCACAATTTTTAGTGCGCTCATAAAGTTAGTAAGGTTAAATTTGTATTCTTTTGCAATGACTCTTTCTGTGCAAGTTTTTTCGATCGTTGAACCGATTTTAATAATATTGTTATTTTTATTTTTAAATATAATTCTCAAACGGGTTAAAACTAGCCACAACTTGTCCCGATTAAAACATATATACAAGGTGCGTTCCAAAGTAAACAGGACTTCAAAAAAAAAGACAGAACAAATGGTTTTATTGGCAAAATCAATTTATTTTATTCAAAATAGTGTCCTTCTGCTTTAATACAGCTTTTTCGGCCACAAGCGTCGATTGAAGAGACGGCGCATTATCGTGCAACAAACGCCTACTTCCATCTTCGCGATATTCGGGCCGAACATGTCGAATACGGCGCACCAAACGCTTCAAAACTCCAGGGTAGAATACCCCATTAACATTTTGGCCGGGTGGAACAAATTCTTTGTGGACAATACCCTTGGAATCATAAAAACAAATCAGCATTGTCTTCACTTTTGACTTCGCCAGGCGCGATCTTTTGGGTTTCGGCTCATTTCTCATTTATGTCCTCACAACCACTTTGAAAATGTTGAAACCACTCGTTCACTCTGCTACGGAATAGGCAATCAGCGCCATAAACTTGTTTCATCAATTGAAACGTTTCGGTAAAGTTTTACCAATTTTAAAACAAAATTTAATGTTGGCTCTTTGTTCGAAGCTCATTTTCGCACCGATGACAAAAACATACTGACATTTAAAACGCAATAACTTCACTTCCAATAAATGAAATGTCATGAAATTTTTAATGGAAGTCGATAAAGGATAGCAGATTCTAACGCACTAGTCGACATATAGATGGCGCCACTAGAGTTTACCTTGTTACTTTTTATACCCTGAACAGGGTATATTAAGTTTGCCACGAAGTTTGTAACCCCAGAAAGAAACGTCAAAGACCCTATAAAATGTATATATAAATGATCAGCATGATGAGCTGAGTTGATTTAGCCATGTCCGTCTATCTGGCTGTCCGTCTGTCTGTATATATACAAAGTAGTCCCTCAGTTTTTAAGCTATCGATCTGAAATTTAGCACCTGTCCTTTTCTCACAAAGAATCTGCTCATTTGTCGGAACGACCGATATCAGACCACTATAGCATATAGCTGCCATACAAACTGAACATCGGAATCAAGTGCTTGTATGGAAAACTCTTTCATTTGACGAGGAATTTTTACGAAATTTGGCATGTATTATTAGTTAAGGCAATAATCTAATCGCCGAAGAAATTATATAGATCAGATGACTATGACATATAGCTGCCATATTACCTGAACGATCGGAGTAAAGTTCTTGCTTAAGGCAACAAATTATTCTCCGCAGAAATTGGTCAGATCAGATCACTATATCATATAGCTGCCATACAAATCGAACGTTCGGAATCAAGTTCATGTAAGGGGCCTTTGTATTTGTGAAGGGTATTATAGCTTCGGTGGAACCGAAGTTAACGTTTTTTCTTGTTTACTGTTGACTTTGGAACGCACCTTGTACACTACAATATAGTTATATAGTGACGGTGATTCAGAAATCTTAAAGCTGAAAACATTTTTCAATAGGATCGTCATTGTAAAAAAATTATTAAAGTTGTAGTCTTATAGTAAATACATTATAAAGTTTAAACGTATGAAATAACGCTTGAGAAGGGCTGTAGTGGAAAATATCTTTCAGAAGGGTTGCCACTAGGTTTATTTATTCTAATATTGGTGTCAAACTGACCGAGTCTCAGAAATATTTCTGCCAGTAATATTTTTTTGAGGGCCTACCACCTGTCCGAAGAAATAAATAAAAACAAGAAACAAGTAAGGAAGCGATAAGTTCGTGTGTAACCAAATATTTCACACTCTTGCAACTTTCAAGGAAAAGCCGGGGTAATACTTTTAGGTGTTAGTAAAACTTCATATTAAACAAGTAAGGAAAGACTAAGCTCGGGTGTAACCGAACATTTATACTCTTGGCACTTGCGTGGATTAAAGCCAAGAATAGTTGTTATCGAATTTCTATTATATATCCGACAGTTTGACCGAAATTTTGGGTAAAAAGTTGTAATGTAAAACTGTCAGAATAATATTATATACCGAATTTGGTTGAAATTGGTCGACTAGGTCCCGAGATATGGGTTTTCTCCTATATGTGGACGGTGCCTAAACCCCCATCTCGTCTCTGGTACATTTAGTTATACTTTTATTGCACTTTTAGTAGTTTTAAGTAAAACCGTTAGAGGGCAGAACCACGTTTGTTTTGTAAAGTTTTGTATCGTAATTAAGTTTTTTCAAAAGCCTTTTTTTAACAGATCACGCATGAGTCATGTCAACCTGTCATGTGATATTTGTGCAGCATTGTTTGGCATTTTCTCGTGGAAATACTTACGCCTGAACAACGCTTACAAGTTGTTCAACTTTATTAGGGAAATTCACGTTCTGTAAAGAATGTGTTTTGAGTCATTGGCTCGACTTATGGTCGACATAATCAAACCTACTGAGCGTATTATTCGCAATACCATCACCCATCTTGAGACCCAGCGTTCATTATTGGAAAATATTCGACCGAGTAACCGAAGTCCAGCACGCAGTGAATAAAATATAGCGGCTATAGCTAAGAGTGTACACGAAGACCATGTAAAGTCGATTTGGCGCCGCTCGCAGCAACTTGGACTGGCGTATGGTAGGACTTGGCGCATTTTATGTCGATATCTTAAATTGACAGCATGCAATATACAGCTTGTGCAAGAACTGACGCCGCTTGACCTTCCCAAGCGACATCGCTTCGCTCTACAGGCGCTTGAAAAGTTCCAAGAAAATCCGACGTTTTCGGGACAAATTTTGTTCAGCGATGAATCCCATTTCTGGCTCAATGGGTATGTAAAAAAGCAAAATTGCCACATTTGGGACGAAGAACAACCCAAAGGAATACAAGACCTGCTATTTCATCCAGAAAAAAAAACAACAGTTTGGTGTGGTTTGTGAGCCGGTGGAATCATCGGTCCATATTTCTGCAAAAATGATGCCCGTGAGAACGTAACCGCCATACTCAATAATAGCTTTCTCAGCGACATTGCTTATAGCATAAAATGTCGGACCTGTTTCCTTTTTCGGAGACCGTTGTCTTGGACAATAATCTATGCCAAATTTTGTAAATACTCGTATATCTCGTAAAAGTCGATATCGGCGGTAGCGACAAATGAGCAGTTTATTGGTGAGAAAAGGGCGGTTGCAAAATTATTTCAAAAACTAAGGGACTAGTTCGCGTATATACAGACAGACGGACAGACATACGGACGGACATGGCTAAATCAACTCATCATGCCGATTATTTATGTTTATATTTTATAAGGTCACCGGCGTTTCTTTCTAGATGTTACGAACTTCGTGCAAACTTAATATACCCTGTTCAGTGTATAAACATCTTTTATGAAACATGATTTAAATAATCTCTAAAGAAGTCGAATTGTGTCATATCTGAGGAGATCTCCCCAACACTCAATTTTGGACTATGTATGACGTTTCTTAGATCATAAGTAAATTTTATGTTTTGAAATTCCACAATATCATTATAATTCGTCGTTATTTCGGTGCATTGTGTCCGTATATAAGGCGGTTCGCAAAACGGTTCTAAGCTGATTATGTTTTGAAGTAGTTTTCCCTTTTCAAAACTACTTACAATAATCCTTTTATGGTTTTTTAATTTAAACTAAAAGCATTTCAGTCTGATTTTTGGTTAATGCAATGAGTCTTCTTTATTAAATGATTATGAAATACATTAAAAATTACAATTTTTATTGTAGGTAACATCCTTAAAATCACTTAAATCATATTTATATGTTTTTATAGTGTCGCTATTGTTTTTAAAATCAACAAATTTCATAATCACATTGACGTAAGCACTTAACAGTTAATAACTATTTACAATATTTCTTATAAAGTACTTTATGCCGCGAATGAGCTCTCGAGATACTCAAGTATTGTAGTTAGTATTTAATGTAATGTAATTTAAATGTGCTCCTCTTCACTGAATACTCGATTTCTCTTATTATTGCTTATTTAAGGGTGTTGAATGCAGTGGTACCTATATTAATATCTTTCTTATAATTAACTACGCTAATGTTTCACTATGGATTGAGTCAGTGTTATGGACTTGATCCCTTCTTTTATCGTCGGCGTTGGCACCGTGTTGGTAATTTTGTTTTCTTGTTTCGGACATGGTTTTGTGAGTGATTCAAGTATAAACTTTTATGTATTAGTGCCGCTAAGCTTTAATTTACCTAAATTCTGTGCGAGTATTTCGTTTCTTTGTTTCCTTTTTAATGTATGATGCTTCCTTCAGCCTTCCCCTTACAAAGTAGTTAATTCAAATGTTGTTTTATTTTGTGATTAGTTATTGGCTTATTAAACTAATTCTTACAACTACGTTGATTTACTAAGTAACAGTTATGCTCTAAGCTGGCAGGCCTTGTAGACTTGACTTCTTATGTAGACAGCTAACTCCAATGGCAGTTGGTTAGCTGTAGGGATCCTTGCGAAAACAATAGGAAACATAGCCAGAATACCCAAGGATGCATAATTACTGAAAATACACAAATATAACATTACAAAAATTATTATCCCCATTTTTAGAACGTCTTTGAAGTAAGTAAGTACACTAACCCATTCTTTTATAATAACTGCCACTGTTGGACGCACTAGCGCCATTACCTGGCCCCAGCAATCGTTGTTTGTGTCCAGCATCGCGTAGTGCCAAAATAGTTGCCCGCACCTTACTTTCGCGCCGCACACTCGATATGCCCATTATATCCGCTACGCATTTCAGTTCTAGAATTTCACTTTTTGATATGAAACGTGGATCGTCGATGTGTATACGCAGCTGTAGGGAACTGGCGTAGAGCATAAAACCGTCTGTATTGCGTGTGATTTCATTCAGTTGTGGTTGGAGACTAGTAAAGGGGGCCTTAGGGTTAGAAAAAAATATATATTTGTATGATGTACTAACTACTTTGGAGAAGTATTAAAATTATTCAACACTAAAACATTTAGACTTCATTAAAAATTTCGAGCTACAGTTGAAGAAAAACTGTTAAGGGGTTCTCGGTAATGTTCCTTTCACAACGATGAGGTTTTCAGCAATGAAACGGATTATTGACGATTGATATGTTGTATGACTTTAAAGGTCCGAAATAATTCTGATATTCCACAAAAAATTGCTTCTTGGTAGTCTTAACGAATTTTGATGGTTTCGGGTGAGGAGATTACGAATTTATTCATGAAAGTGTTGAGTGGGCTTTCTTTGAAAATTGCATATCTTTTATTTTGATCAATTATTGGTTTATTAATAATAAAATTTATTTTGCCAGTCATGGTTTGGGTTCTGCGCCCCATTTTCATGTATACAAGCATTATGTGATCCCCATTCTAAGGCTCTTTACTAAAAATATGAGAAAAAGACGGGATGTTTTTTAGGTTAGGAGATCAAATACGGTAATTCATGAAAGGTTAGGATTTTATCAAAGTTATGGCTGTTGCGTAAAGTGACGCTTGGAAAGGTTTAGAGTTGACCGTCAAAAATTTCGTGGGTAACCATTAAGCTAAAAATTATCAATAAATTTTGTAAAATATGCTGACAAACTTTCAGACTCTAGAAGCAAATATGAGAATCAATCAATATAGATTATATCCGCAATTATCTGGAAAGATATTGTGAGCAACAGGGAACGATACCACCAAATGATGGAAGAAAAATATCAAGGTTGATGAGATAATCCCATCCTGGTAGATTATTGCTGGTCCTTAAGAAATTTTCAATTGAAAAGCTACAAAAAAATGATTTAAATATAAATGAGAGCAAATCTTAAAAACTAATTGATTGCATGAACTGCGACTCCAAATATATCCAAAATCAATGTAATATGTAGGGCAACAAAACCACTGTAGACCAGTCTAATAATTATATATTAAATTTTTTCTCGGTACCTATGACAAGCTTTCTAAAAGTTAATTCGCGCAAAAACACGTATGTTTATCTTTTTATTAAAACCAATGGTACATTAAAGAATGACATTTGTCATGCAGAAATATTTTAAAATACGGCAGTAGCAGCAAAGGTGTTTCAGAAAAAGTTGGTTTGCGGTGCCTCTCATAACTTGGTGATGGATCATCGGAAATCAAAACAAATAAAATGTCAACTTCGGTTGCACCGAAGCTATAATATCCTTACTTGCCTCTTCGGAGATTGTTGCCTTAGACTTAACTCATGTCTAATTTCGTGAATATATTACGTCTAATAAAAAGCTTCCCATACAAGCACTTGATTCCGATTGTTCAGTTTGTATGGCAGCTATAAACTATAGTAATCCGATATCGGCCGTTCCGACAAATGAGCAGCTTTTTAGTTACAAAAAGACAAGTTCAAAATTTCAGCTCGATAGTTTAAAAATTCGTATATATACAGACATACGGACAGACGGACGGACGGACAGACGGATAGACAGACGGACATGGCTAAAGCAACTCATCGCATAATGTTGATCATTTATGTATATATTTTTATATGGTCTCGAACGTTTCCCTGTTCAGGGTAAAAGAAGGAGATTCATTCGCTAAATATAAGTTTTCCGCAAAAAATTTCTAATTTTTAATTTTTTAGAACACTTTGAATAATCGATTTTTAAGGAAAAAGTTTAGTAATTTGTTATTGTAAAATGAAAATGAAATGAATAACAAACATAAAAATAGCTCTCCGGCGTTACCTCTGTATGTGGAGAATTAATATTTAAAACTTCCAAGGGATTGGTTTATTAGTTTTGGAGTTATGAGAGGCACCGTCTTTTAAAAGTGAATTGTGGCCAACGATTATAAGGCAGATATTAAATTATTCGTAACTTCAGTTTTGCTCAAATCACCTTAAAATTTTACACACAAATAATAACTACGCATTGAATAATAAAAAATAAAAAAATACAAAGTAAAACAATTTAGAAACCCTGGTTGTCTGCAAATCCTACCAATGTCAAAGACTACGAGACGTTTTATATCATAAGGCAGCTTTCAAATTTCAGTATCTATACTTTATTTGTATCACCCAAAACTAATCGGGTAAGATATAGGGTTATGTATATGGTATATAAATGATCAGGATGAAGAAACGTCTTGAAATCCGGGTGACTGTCTGTCCGTCCGTCCATCCGCTTGTGTAAGCTGTAACTTGAGTAAAAATTATGATATCTTGATGTAACCTGGTACACATGTTTCTGGTCGCTGGAAGACGGACCACTACCACGGCCAAAAAATGCCATTAAGCGAATACAAATAAATTGCCATAACTAAGCTCCAAAATAAGGCAAAAGACTGTTATTCGGTACAAAGTATCACATTAAGGAGAGGCATTTGCAGTTTAAAGTTTATTTTAAGAGTGGGCCTGGTCCCACCCTCAAATAAGTTTAATGTGCATATCTCTAAGCCGGTAAAGCTATCATAACCAAATTCATTCAGGACAAATATTTTTAGAACCCTAGCGACAGAATGAAAATGAGTGAACAATTCTTATGTTACATTGCGAAAATAGGCGCAATCGAACAACAACCACGCCTACATCTCATGTAACACAATTTTAAATTACATCTAATTCTTTCACTTTCTAGTATACAATTCAAGCAAAAATTAATGTGTCGAGATAAAACTTTATTTTTGTGCTTAAAATGGATACAATTGGACGAAAACTTGACCTAGCCCCTCATAACTAATAATAGGGTTTTCGGAAATCTGACTGAATTTACACCATATGGTTAGTGATGGTATGTGAGGTACCTTAATAAGACCGAGGGAGCATTTTATTAATATGTGGCATGTTAATTGTATGTTTTATTCGCAAAAACAGATGAAATCGAGCCAATATGCCCAAACTCTCATATACTCGATATAATGATTTTCGGTATTTTAACATGTTTTATGCTGAATATGTCGGTCAGTGAGTATTAATTATATATACAATTGCTTCAAAATATGAGCAATGTCAAAATTAATGCAATACAATTTCTTTCTATACCCCCAATATACTCCATAAAATGATTTCCGTCTTTCCACCTGTCTTTTAATCGTTAAGCTTGGTCAAAATATGTGATATTGTAAAAAAACTAAATGAAAAGTTTTTTTAAAAATTATGTGGTTGGACGTAGAATTATAATAAAATTGGTCGATGCCTTGGTCTAACCTTTATATCCTTAAATTCATATAATAAAATATATAAATGAAACTCTCGATAGTAGTATGTCTTTGTGTGAAAAATTGGTTAAAATTTTGCCAACACCTGAAGTAATTTCCCGGGCTTTGATCCTTGAAAGTTGCTAGAGTATAAAATGTTCGGTGCTAACCTTATTTCCTTTCCATTCTATACCTCAGCAATGTTAAAATTAACTCAATTATATCATCCCTTTCTTTGTCCCCAATATAGCCTGTATAATAATTTCCGACTTTCCCCCTTAAGAAAATTAAATGAACAAGTTTTCAGGCGTTCATGTTTATCTAACGACTGCCCAGCCTCATTACAATGGCGTCGAGCTACTTGGTCGCAGTGAAACCATAGGTAATTTGAAAATTTTTAAAAACTTTGTTTTTTCCTTGTTTACTACTTGTCTAACACGTGTGCTTCAGTTCCTTGGCGCCTCTGTCCGATTTAAATAGCAAAAGGTCTAGTGAGCTCCTCACTTTCAGCAACATTCGTCTTAACCATTTAATTAAATTCATTAAAAATATTCAGTTCCGAATATTGTGCTTATAAATACACTAAAAATTGAAGCTTGAACTACAGGACGTTTGTTCAATGGATGATCCAGTTTAGAGCTTACCGAACGAAGCGGTATCTTTCCTAGTACTCGCACTGTTCTTCAAATCTCAACCTCGAACTGTTGTTTCAAATAACTAATACATATAATATTTCGCTGTGAATCATATGCTTTTAGGCTAAAATTTGTTGTAGCAGAATTTAGTTTCGAACATACATATATATAATATGTGCTCATCGTATTAACATTGACTTCTGAGGTATTTCATAATTACACTAAATCACTTGAAGTACATGTGCTTTTCATATGAAATTGAATTGCATTCATTTACAGTTTGAAGAACTTGTACATTTTATAGGCACTCAAGCGCACTTACTAACTGAATTGCCAACAAACACAATTACATATCCATATACATATGTACACACATATACATATTTATAGTGTTATGCACACTTTGACTGCTGTGGCATGCCGCCAACAACATTATGGCAAACTAAATAACAATGTGTATGTGCATATGTGTATACTTGTGTGTGTTGAGAATGAGTAGGAGTGCTTAAGCACTTAAAGAAGTTAGCAAATTACGTTCTTTCCGTCAAGCTATGACAGAAATGAAAATTCTTTTGAAGCGGAATTTTTATGAAGTGAATAAAGGTGAGATTATTATTATTACCTTTTTGAGTCTTTACTGATTTTTCCTTGCGTTTCGCACGAAGTGAAAATGCAAAAGCGGCAACGTGAATTGCTCTGTCATAAAGGCGTCGAGTACTTTAAGTAGCCGTAGTGATGTGTAAATTAAGATGATTAAAGGGAGAAGTGGAAATTCTCTTCATCAAGAAGCTGAACGAATCATTTGCAATTGCAAGAAAGGGTGTACATACAAGACATGCGTGTGTTGTTGGTGTATGGCATGAAATTAAATGTTAAGTGCTTATCTATAAGAGAGAAAAATTAAAATAGCGGCCTGTACGTATGAATTCTCACTCGTATGTGCACGTGTGTGAGTTTGCTAGCGCCGCCAGCTGCATTGCCATAAAATTAACACTTGAGCAAACTGATATCCGCTTTGCCGGCATAAAGCTGGCTTCTGTTTCCTCATACATATGCAAGCTGTTGGTTGTGTCACAGTCATGGCTTTATGCACACAACTACTTATGATTGAGTTTATAATAAGCGCGCCAGCATATACAACTGCAAGTGTATACCATATACAGTATGTGCATGTATGCGCATGTATGCATATGTGTGTGCGTGCAGTATGGGCGTCAAAGCGTGTGCTGGGCGCTTGCTGCCTTAAGGCTTCTGCTCTCTGCTTTCTGCCATCGCCGTGAACATTACTTCTGCATTTATTGCCACTGAATGCCTTTATTATGGATGATGGCAATAAGTATGCCAGCAACAATTTCAGACACACTCATGTGCTGTAAAAAACACACACAACAAACAAACTTGTATGACAACAAAAACAATAGCAACAGCTTGTTAATGCTACCGAAGACTTAACTTAACAACTTTGGTGACGATGCTGATGATGACGTTTAAATATGCCGATAACGAGTGCATTTGTGAACGTTGCACATGCATGCATTACTACCGTTATACGCGTATGCATTTGCACATGCATAAATATGCGTGCATTGTCGTACTTATACACGTTGAAATTTTTGTTTGTTTGTGGGTGTGTATAACAGTTGGCATGGAGTTATTTGTAAAAAAATATCTTTATGAAGAAGATATATAGATGGGATATGCGGTTTGAGGTATGGCTTCATTTAAATTGTAGTTATTTAATATCAGAATGCAAGTAATAACGCTATTATTGTAAATAAAAACAAGAAAAAATATTAGCTTCGGCTGCCCCGAAGCTTTAATAGCCTTCACAGTAGCACTTTTTATATGATAAAAGGGTATAAAAAGATCTATATCTTGATTTTGATCGGTCAGTTTACATGACAGCTTCTTGGGGACAAAAGAACATGTGCAAAATTTTAGATTGATATGATAGACATGACTGAATCAACTTGGCTCACTACCTTTATAATTTATATACTATATACTTTATAGGGTCTTCGACGATTGCTTCTGGCTGTTACAAACTTCGTGGCAAACAGAATATTGGTCTAATCCAGAAAAAGGTTAGAGAAAATTTGGTTTGACTACATATGCAATACACGACAGCAGTCCGCAATCACCATATGTATCTATATACAGGGTAATATTATATGTTGACTGTTGAGAGTGCTCGAGCTAGCTAATGATATATGATGGATATCTTAACACAGCGGAAATGTCAGAATGTATTTTTGTCTTTTTGTGTGCGCCAACAAGCTTTAATATTATGAAATACAAGTGGTGAATTTTGTCGTCTAATAAAGTATGGCTACACACTTCTTCTTTTTAGTTGAAGAGTTTTAGTAGAAACTATACAATTTTACCACTGTTCTTTCCATTGTATACGTCCGGGGAAAAGTATTTACAGTGTCGACGAAAAAGTTTGAGCTTATTGAAACAGCTATTTTGATGAAGATTGAATTCAAAGCACCGTGAAATTTTTAAAAAAGGCTTACAGCCGAAAAAAGCTCTTAAAAGTATTATCTAACGAAGTAACCTCATAGCTACTAATAAAACAGAATTTCATATTTTATTACTTTCATGAAAGTATTTATCAACTGTTTTAGTAAAACTCTTACCTGTTTTCTATTTTGTTCATTATTTATTATTACACAAATTTTGTGCAGTCAGATCACCTTGATTGAATCAGATTTTCACATTTAATTCAAGTGGGAATTTTATGCAGAGTGTTTTTTTGGCAGTTAATCTTATTTGATACCAAAGTAATGCGGTACAAGTTGAACTTAATCAAAGTTAATAGATAGCATATGTTGTTTGCGCTTGTTTGTTGTTGGCGTTGTGCTAAAACATTTTATTACATATGGAAATCGGTGCATGGGTGGTGAAGAGTACACGTAAATTTAAGGAGCTGTGCTGTCAAATATAGAGAAATCGGTGTACACACTTGATATGTGCACAAACGCAATTTTCTTCTTAATGACAGCACTGTGCAATTGCGTTAAGTTAAAATTAGTTTTTTATAACTATACAAAAAGTTGAAAACATATATAAATAGGTAAAAACATATGTGTGACATAGAGTTTTTTTTAATAGTAGTCGGTTTATTGCCACTGAAACCTTTCAGTTTATGCTTAGCAGAAAATACTTTGAATAAGTGGAAAAGCTCGGTATAATAAAGTGTAAAGAATAGAGGATATTGCTATATAAAGCAATCGCGAAATCTTCTATTTTTGATATAATTGAAAACACAATATTTTCGGTTTTAGAAACATTGGCTTTAATCTACGACGGGTAAAGATGTTTTTTTGAATTAAATGATTTGAAAAAATATATTAAATTATAATATATATACATATGTATGTACTATGGATTATACATACATATACACAAAGTCAGTGTTCATTAAATCAGAAACAGATCAATTTCATATAAATTTTCACCAATCTAGGCTGTTTTCACTGTCTTTGGAGATTTATAAAATAGCTGTTTTTGACTAGCCGATCGAAGCTGTAGCATTTTATAGATTAGCTTCAAATCTCCTCTGTGACGGGATTAACACGTGTCATTTTGGTATGGTGAATTCTTGATAAAACTAGTAGAATAGTGAGATAATATACTCAACAGCCCAAATCTCATGATCTAGTGTCGGTTGGAACATGGTATACGAGTAAGTCTGCTATTTCTGATTGGATTCATGTGAAATTCTTTTCTTGTGTAGATAGAGCTGTAAAAAGGTGATCTGCATCATTAAAATATCAATTGTGTTTGTAAAAAGTTTTTAAAAGTGAAGTTTTACAAAAAAACCATGCGAAAACGATGTTAAATGACTGATTTCACTAAAGGGCAAATAATAGCTCGATCGCAGCAAAATCAAAGCTTCAGAAAAATATTGGGCAATGTGGAGTTCAGCCACACTACTGTAGCAGCTTTCATAAAAAAATATCCCAGTAGACTGTTCGCTGGTGGCTCAAAGATACAGAACGACGCCCTGCAAAAAAAAATTTTTTGAGACAACGGATCAGCTGATATCCCCCATGTATGGAGAAGGTCAGGCGAACGGTTCAGTTTAGAATGCCTATTATTCACAGCTCGCAGGATGATCTGGGGCTATTTTTCTTAAAAAGGAGTGAAATAATTGTGCTAATTAAAGGAAGAGTCAACGGTGACGTCTATACAAAAATCCTGGAAGCCTATTTGATGCCCAGCACGATTCTGCGCCATGTCACAAGGCACATCGTAAGTATTTTTTTTTAGTTCTACTATCAGTTATCAATCTAATTCTCAACTAATTTTGAAAAAGCAGTTGGCGTGGCCTGGGAATGGTTCAGATTTAAGTCCCATTGAAAGTCTTGGCCGATTATGAAGAAACAGGTAGCCGCACAGAAGCCAAAGGACCATAAGGAACTGGATTCCGTCCTTTTGAAGAAGACATTTCCCAAAACGCAGAGTAAAATTATAAAGCAAAATTAAACAATAATTGTCATACTACTATTTTAATTTTTTTTGTGATCAATATTGTAGAATGCTCCTAATTTTAATAATCTCAAAAATTTGATTCCCTCCTGAAATATTTAATATTAATATTTTTTGGCTAATACTTTATTTTTTCTATTGGATTAAACCAATTTTTCGAGAGATTTGCTAAAAAATCAATTCTTATTTTGAAATTGAGCTTATTGAAAAAATAATTATGAATTGTCAAAAAAATTACGTGTAAAAGCCAGCTTATTTATAGAGAACAAAAGAGGGTTTTTTAATGCGAAAAAAAATGTCTCCGCTAAGAAAGAATCATAACACTGTTGCACATGCGTCAGAACACATATTAGTGCAGGCTCGCACCACAAGTACTGCCCGTTTGTTCGATTCGCTGAAGAGTAATGCTTGGCCAATCGAAGACAGTTATTAATTATAGCGTGTAACCTACTAATAAAGTAAAAATATGAGCATTGCATAATATTTTTAGGCCAAGTTTATATGACAGATGCTATAAGTTGAACCTAATTTATTGAAAATGTAATAAACTGATTTTTCACAGTCTTCAATTTCATTTTCAACAGTTGTTATTTCAGTAACTTCAGGAAAGAAGAGCCAAAAAAACATACAGTTTAGTATGTGAGCTCGATTATACAATAGTATACTTATACGTTACCAATTCGCTTATCCCGAAATTCTTATTATGTCATCGTTGAACTATTTGTGTTTGGTAAAGTGGTGCACGCTGTATTTACCACCATTTACCAAGTTAGCACACTCCCTACAGGGATATTTATGCATATGGATCACTGACATAGCCAATCATGAATCTCGAATACAAGTACCAGTGTCGTCATAAATAAATAGTTTTGTAAATATACAGTGCACGCATATATGTAGGTAAATTTATATACATACCGTTTTGTTGTTGATGTACCACGTAAGAGTCGTTGCGGGATTGGACCAATCTGAACTGCAGTTAACTGCCAGAAAATCCCCATATCGGTACGGATGCACAATGCCGTTGATGAAGGGTCCGAATTTGGGTAGAACTGTAAATAAACCAAATGGCAGTGGAAAAATCAGCACAACAGTCATTTGTTGTACTATGTAGTAAGTACATATGCACATGCATACGTATTTATTAGGGTGTCCGTTCATCCCCAAGTTGATTTTTTCTTGCAAACGTCCCTTGAAGTTTTTGCAATACAAAAAGGAAACGTAAACAAACTCTCATATATTTAACATGGGATTTTTGGATTGTCTGCAATAAATTATTATCTCTAAAGCAAATAATACTTGCAACTTTAAAATAATTACAATTTAATAAAACAAATTCCATTGCACAAAAATGGTCTGAATGATCTTTTTTCATAACAACATTATTTTAAAAGTTATACCTAGCTAAATTTATGCATAAAATTTACTGTATTCTATAGTACACCATGACGGATGAGCAACACAGAATATATAAATCACTTGTATGAATGCTTAGGCCATTTAATGTATAATATAATTGCTTATAACTTTAAAAGAAATGTTATTATGAAAATAGTTATGAAGACCTTTTCAAAAGAGCGAAATGTTTTGAATTATAATTTCACTTTTTTAAAGTTGTAGATTTACTTGCTTAATGCAAAATAACAATGAATCACTTCTTATATGCATGGGAAAAGAAGTATGATTTAGGCCCGGTTTAAAATGAAACTAAAGTTTGTAGTAAAACAACAAACTTGGAAAATAACGGACACCCTAGTGTTTATCAACATATATTATATTTAAATAACATAGATGAGAGACTGCAATGCATGGTGACATTAAAGTAAGGCAGCGAATATGATTGCAAATTACAAATTGCAGGAGTAGGAGAGGACGGTAAGCCAGCTAGTGGAATAGAGTCAGCAGAGATGAATGTGGTAATGCAAGCACTTTAAGTCAACAGTCATAAATTACTGCCACAACGCAATGTGCGCATACAACAGTTTCCAGAAGTACCTACGCACACACTCACATACACACATAAACTTTCGCAAATTTATTTTAAGTATAAATTTATATAAATTTTTATTAAATATAAAATCTATATTCATATCCATTCACACTTAATGAAAGTGCAAAAACGTGCATAGACATACATTCGCTCAGGAATTTGCATAGCAGTGTATCTGAGTGTGCGTGCCAGTGGCTCGTAGCCTCGTCTATCCATAAATTAAGTGCATAAAATAAAATTCGATTTGTTTACGTCACAATGGCTTATGTCAAAGCCAAAAGCGTGCACTAGCATATATAAGCACAGCCTTTACTAATATCAGCCGTTGCTCACAAACTCATACACACACTCATGCAGGACCACTACTTATGACACGTATGCACACAGATGCGTGTGTGCATAAATTTCTGTATGAGACAATGTGCATGTTGTAGGAGCTTTAAAACATTTTCATATGGATTAAAATGGATTTTACCACAACAACAAAAATATTTGGCTTAACTTTTGCACTCGTATAAAATTGGGAATAATGTCATTTATATAAGTAAAATTTATGACACTTTCACCAGATGACCCCTTTTGTTATGGCATTTTGCTGTATTAGTTATTGCATTTTTAAATGACAAAAAATATTATTCCAAGTGGCTTTGGCTATCGGCGAAAAATCTGCTTTGGTTTGAATTGATTTTCCATCGTCTCTGTGTTTGAATCTTTAAAACATGAGGTGATCGGAGTCGTGGAGTCACAGAAAAGTGAAAAAGCAAAGGCTTGATCTTAACATCAGACCTGCGGGACGGGACGAAATCAGGATAATATGTACGAGAGTGCAGCAGTTTTCAGTCTTATTCGACTAATTTGGGCGTGCAATGCAGGAGGTGTGTGTAGCTGTACTGTCCTGTTGAAACCATATTTTTTTCAGTTGGTCAATGGTACCGAATTTTCTTTCCTTGTTTCGACTGTTTCTTAGTCTCTAGTGTATACCAGTTGCTAAATCTGAAAACACGGCGTACATCGCGCTGACAGCTTTCTTATGCCCTATATTTTATGCAAGATGTCTGATGTGTCAGTTAAGTACTTATCGGATCCTTGTTTATTTAAGAAAGTCAGAGAATTGATAATTCCGGCAGACTTTATATGAAATTAATTGTGCTTGACTTTTTTTGCTGAGTTCTTTTTCTACTTCAAAATACTCTTTCGTGCCATTGATTCTATTTCGTTTGGTTTAGAAAGTGCAGTGCCAAATAAAAAGCGTTTATCATTGGATTTTGGCCAATTTCACCCAGGGGATTTCAATAAATGCCATATCCGTGAAATATGAAAACTCGTCGCTTTGTACTACAACAAAAAAAAGTTAAATATTAAACCGAGGAATACGGTCAAAAAACGCATCTTACGAAATCAGTCCCTAAGTCTCTTAAGCAAAGTGAGTTTCCTTGAATGGATCAGACCCTTTACAAGTGGTTTATGACTCATTTTCGAAATTATATCCGTACCGTTTTAAATGCAATGCAAATTCATTCTGAGTTCTACGAGCAAAATTTTTTTGCCAGTGATGGTTGGATGACTAAATTCAAAAAACGCTTCTTAATGAAAGTGATGAAAAGCTGTCATCTAGGGAAATACTGTGGAGCCATTTATAAGTAAGCTAGAGAACGTAACAAAAATTATAACCTTTCATTGCAGTATTTATTGGAAATTGCATTCTGAAAAAACGTACGTTCTTTCTGAAATAGCATCTGTACCAAAAAGAAAGATTAACATTTTTAGTGTGAGTTACATATTATAATAATTTACTTTATATATATTGTAACGTTACTTTTACTTTGTACATAACTTTTCGCTATCATTTATGGTCATCAACTTCTTTACTTTACTGCAACTTTCAAATAACCTGTGGAAATGAGGTACTCTCATTTGAATTCTTCTTACCGTTGCATATTTTAATTTGTCCTTCATTTCATTCTTGTGTTGGACATATATGTGAAAAGTTCGATGAAATATATCTTAGCTGTTGTACATATTTATAAAATATATATACTTGTACATCTATAAGTACATTAAAATTGTGTTTTAATTAAATTTATAGCACGTGCACCAATGCTTCAGGAAACAAGAAATCATCAATTTAAGTAATTGGAAAAATTTTTCCTTTCAAAAACCAATTGCTACCCGTAACCTATATGATCTTGAAGTATGCTTGGATGAATACTTTCATCTTTAAAAAACTTTTTTTTGATTACTTTGTCTCATAGGTATGTTCCAAAAAAAACGACATTTTAAGTTAGTAATTTTCATGGACTCGTGTTTCAAAGATTATTCAATTTTTGGATGAACAGAACCATCCAAAGAAAGCACAGCCCTTCATAAATAATGCTCAAAGTCACCCTATAAGAACCAAAGTATTCTTTCATAAGATATTGGAGAAATATTTTAAAATATGGTACCTTAGGAATCGATGAAGGAGATGATACACCAATAGCAGAACTGTTTAGGTTAGTTACCTTATTAGCGTTAAACATGTTTGTCGAATCTGGAGGTATTGCAAGATGACCGTACTATTGAGATCCGTATGTTCATGTTCAAGAAACAATTGCGGCTGTTGCATCGTCAATTCAGGCAAATACAAGAGCTTCGAACGGATAATTCATAATGACTTAAACCTGTTTCCGTACAAAGTTCAAGTAACAAGCCAGTTAAACCTTCTAGATTTGTCTATTCGCCTAGAATTTTTTAGAAATATAAACAAGCAAAATTGCCGTATATGGAGTGAATCAAATCCGTGTGGTGCGCAGTTTCTTCAAGGTGTGTTGTCGGGCCATACTTATTTGAAGAAAACGGTGTAACAGTAACTGTCAATGAACACCGTTATTTAAAGATGTTGAATGAGTTTTTTTTACCCAGAACAGCGCCGAAGACGTATCCCTTTCATTTGATTACAGCAAGATGGAGTAACTGTACACATAGCCAGCGGGGCTCCAACAAGAATTTTAAAACAAAATATAAAAAATTCCTTTTTTTATGGAGTTGTCAGTCAGCAAGAGGTGTACAAAACAAAATTTTATGGTACCTAATTTTTAAAAATAATTAATTATATAAATAAAATAAAAATTGCTATGCAATAAAAAAAAAATAAACAAAACAAAATTTTTACGGTTTGGTTTTATAGCACGATTCGTGCGCCACCCTGTAGTTGATTATTAATTAGGTAACACAGGTAAGGTAAGTCTAAGTTCGGGTGTAATCGAACATTTTATACTCTTGCAACGTGAAAGAATACCTCAAAGGCACTATTTGTGCAAAGTTTTATCCAAATGAATCCATTGGTAGTTAATTTGTGTACTGGAAAGTGAAATAGTCAAAGGGAATTTAAAGTTGTGTTATATGGAAAGTAGGCGTGGTTGTAGTCCGATTCTGCCCATTTTTTCTATGTGACATAGGATCGCCAAGATTATGTTACGTACTGAATTTAGGTATAAATTGGTGGAATAGTTCCTGAGATATGTGATTTTCCCTAAATGCCGCTTATTGTCCTTTTGTAACCCCGGCTCCTATAAAGCCCTCTGGTGCCTTTGGTTATTGATTTATCGCGCTTGAAGTAGTTTTCCTTATATCTTATTAGGTATATATTTAATATAAACTTTATTTATTAACTTAATTTATTTTCGGACTTCTAGTTGGCTTTATACCGCGTTGACTCTATATCAGTCAATATGTATTTTTTTTAATGAAATTGGGAGAGCCTGTTTTTCCAATAAAAGTCTATCATTGTGCATGAAATTGATAAAATCAGATGAAAACTTGCCCTAGCCCCCATATTTCTTATATCAGGATTTTCAAACATCTGGTTGACTTTACTCCTTATTTATTGGTGCTGGTATATGAAGTCGCTTATTGAAATTCAAAGAGCATTTTTTTCTGTTAATAATTTTGGGAATGCAAAAAATAGATAAAATCGTTTCAATACTACCAAGATCCCCCATATAACTACTTTAGCGTATAATATTCAAGTTATTTATGCATAAAATTGCTTGAAAACACGTTTTCGAGTATATCTGAGCAATG